CAGAATTGTCTCTTCTGCCCCCAGTACCACATTTCAAAATTCAACAACATTATGAAGCTTTTTAAATATGGACAATATAAACAATGGTTTTCAATAATCTTAACTATCGATTGATAATCTGGAACATGATCAGTTAAAAATTAGCAGTGCGAACGTACCTAGGCGAGAATATATTCTTAACTACCTTACTGGAGAAAAAAACAAAAACTTAATTATCTATTCCGGGATAAAGCGATTTACTTTTCTCAATTCTCTAGAACACGTAGAGATTTCCCGGCGACTAATCCCGACACGACTATTTTCGAGCAACTTTTCCGGAGCAATCCTATAACACTCGGACCGAAGCAGCACGGTCGCTAAGATCTCGCCTAAACTCCTCTGCATTGCGTCCTATATCCCTCTTGTACACTTGTATCTTTGTTGTATGTTAATCAAAAGCGAACTTGTAACTTGTTTCTGGAAATATCAATGGTTCCCAAACAGTTTAATCGCACAGGAAGCTATACTTGAAAAACCGACACATAACCACTGACATTATTTTTTATTTACTGACATTTTCCTTAAAATTTATTACTTACTTATTTTAAATTACTAATAAATCTAGGTCAGCATTGATATTTAACACGTTAATTGCATCATTAATATTTTTATGTCGCTAATATTTTTTATACTCGTAGAAGCCTTGTCAGACTTATTTTGGTAGCTTACATACACGATTTGGTAGAAGACCACTTGTTGGGAAAAACTTTTAATATAAGGCCCTGCCAGTCATATATGTCTTTTTTCAGGAATTTTGGAAAAACAAAATGTTTCATATATTAATTAAATACTAATTACTTATTTAACTATTAATTGCTAATTTAATTACCAAGACCCATGGGGAAATTTTTCTTATATTATTGTGGCGATTAACGTGTAAATTTCAACTTTATTTTTGAAAATAATATGGATTTTTTTACCAAATTTTATGTTGTTGGTATCTGGATTTGCTAATAAATCCAGATTTAGCATTAACAATTAATTTATTTATAAGTGTAATATCAATCATTTATAAGTTTTTTACCCAACACGTTGTTGGCATTTTACCTTGAAGAAATTTGCATGGACTACTTGATATGTTTAAATAATAGATATATTTTGTAATTAGCACTTGGCATATTTTATGTCCTAATACGGGGTCGCTTTATTTAAAACTTATTTTTTTTATATTCAATTAACTTTTCGTAGACCTACAATATATATTTAAGGTTGTTAATTAAGACTAAAATCGTTAAAAAACAATAATTAGTTCCAAAGTGTCCAAGAATCCACTAATTTACCAACCAACTTATAAGAAGCATTTCCAATTGATATCTTTTGAGAATATCGGTAAAAGGTCAAATTTTGCTTATATTCATATGCACATACTCGTATATACATATTCTCATACTTTTTCCAGTTTTGCTGTGTAACAATAACAAATCAGATTTTTGGGCAAAAACATAAACTTTGGAGATTTATTTCTAATTAAGGAATGTACTAATACATAATTCAAATATTTACTCAATACTAAATAAAGACTGGTAATGCCCTAGGACAGGTCCATAAGTTGACTATAACTCTAACTCGATTAAGGGAAAAATATTGTGAGAGATTTCCCAATGCCAGTTCACACCGCAGTGTCCAAAGTGGGCTTATTTTCAATTGGAAACGTATTTTTGATCGATTCGAGTGCAAATGGATATCGTTGCTGTACGATGTCAGGTTGCTTGAGCGGGGACTTGAATTCACGACCATTATTTAAATTTATTTAAATGACACACAAAATCTAGTTATAATAGTTTGATTTTATTGCTGTTCAGATTTATTCTAATAAAGACAAAATTATTTTATTACTCTCTGTTGTTCCATTATTTGAGTTCATGGCAGAAAGCATAAATAAGCAATTACATAAACAAAAATTATGTGTACATTATTTAATTAATAACAGCAAGAAATGCACTTGCAGTGTACAGAGAAAGCTATTTAGCGTCATCGTAAAAAGCATTTTACTTAATTTATAGTAAGAAATAGTGGCAGGAAAACCAGAGTTTTTTATTCCTCTTACAATTTCCATTATCATTCCGTTTTAATCCTAGAAAATGCGTCAGCGCAAGTAAGCAAGCAAACAAAGGCAATATTGTCAGAGCCATTATTAAGATGGATAAATTGTTCTAGCAATGTTTTAAAACAGTCGTTATCAACTCTGGGTGAGTTTATCAAGTAATTAGTCATAATTCTTTGTTTTGCAACTTCTTCATTTCTTTTGTTCAGCGGATTCATATTGTTTTATCTCTGTTTGCCATCTGTACTGCTTTTCTGATTTAAACTTAATTTGATCTCCGGCGCAAAAGTTTCAGTGATAACTTTGCTATCGAAAAGTAATATCGCTTCGGAGGAAATCTACTTATTAAACAGTCATTAAATATATCGATTATACAGGTGAAAATACTATATATATATAGGGGGGAGCTAGGGGATTTTTGTAACGGGGGTAAGAAGTAACAGGCGTCTTAGAAAAAGATCTTAAACGATATTTAAATAATTTTAGCTTTGATTAAACTTGTAAACCGTACTGCATAATATTATCATAGCTACTAGTAAACAGAATTGTGCAGGTGCGTCATTTTTTACTGGTAATATCAAATTGTACTATCATGAAGAAGTATCGGTTTGCATTTTTATTATTAACTAGCTTTATTTTTCTCTATTTTTATTATTTCATATAACTTATTTTGTTTCAAATTTATAAATCTTTGATAATGTGTAACAATTTTTGTGATAGCTAAATTATTTAAATATTAATCTTGATTGATGTAATAAAATCACATCTGGGGTTAGTTGAAACAAATCCTTGAGAATAGTTGTACCATACAAGAATTGTATACAGATTCAAGTGAAAACTAGCGGCACCGTGCCTTAAGGCAAATTGCTGGAACTTCCCGTACCGAAACTAAATGTTCGAGGAATATTAAATGTTTTCAAATAGATTATAATAAATAAATACTGTAACATTGTCGAATATTTGTAAGAATTATATAAACTTAATTGCAAAGTTGAAAATATTTGTTTGAAGTATATTAGAAATTAAGTCAGAATTACAATTAAAATCTGAATTATTTTTGATACACAAAAAAAAAAAATTTTGAAAAAAAAATATTAAAAAAAAAATTGAAACAAAAAAAAATTTTTTTCCAAAGCAATTATTTTGTTAAAACAAGCAGAAAGTTCTTTGAATCATTCAAATCGGACGCTTAGTTCTCTCAAAAACTGCCATTTTTTGCACATTTAGCTCTGTATCTCCAAAACCGCAGGACCTGCCTTTGCCAAAAACTAATCACCACTTCTCCCTGTCATTACAAATTGAATGTTTTTGGATCATTCAAATCGGATGCTCCATTCTCTCGAAAACACGATTTCTATTTTCTGCACTCTTTGCTCCGTACCTTCGAAACGACTGGAACTGTCTTTGCCAAAAACTATTCAGCACATCTCCCTATCAATAGAAATCGAATATTTTTTTAGCCATTCAAATCGGTTAATCCGTGCGCTTGAAAACGTTGACGAAAAATTGTATCCATACATGCATGCACACACACACATCAAATTTTTCTAAGGTATGCCAAAATGTTCAGAAACCTTCAAAACGTGAAGATTTGCAAAAATTGTCAATTTCGATTTTTGGACTATTACAATAACTTTATTATTATTATTTTTACTTGAGTTGTTAGATTTGTTACCTAGCTCCTTTATTATAAATATACAAGAGCATCTGGATTACGTGCATTACGACAGTGCATATTAATAATTTTAATACAAATAATTGATTCATATTTCCACACATATAAAAGGCATCATAAACTGTTAATAATACTGCTAATTCATTGAAATTGCAATCTATGTTTTGTTAACCAATTTATTGATTTGTATGTATATGAGGTTAGGAAATATGGATACAGTTAGTATATATTTATGATTGGTTATTAAATGCGATGTTAAATAGTAGGTAATAGAAATCATAATGATATAGAGTTATATCATAAATGAATGCCACCAAATAATTGTAAATTCAGTTATAAATGCAGATTATAGGTTATTAACATAATCTGCATTTTTACTTCGTAATAAAATTATTGGAAATATTTTACATATTTTTTGGTTAATTAGTAGTAAAGGTAAATAAAGTACCAATTATCATTTTATACCGGATTTTTAACTAGAAAATCATTATAATAATATTATATGCTGAATAGAAAGCTTAGCACCAAATAGGTTCTAAAGACCAATATAAATTGATACTTTATACTATTTCTTAAGTAGTGTTGTTGGTTGTTTTTAAAACGACTTGATCGACTTAAAATCATTTTTGTGAATCCTATTTTAACCATGCCAATATATTCAAAATTTTGCCTATAACATCATTAACCAGTTTATAATTGGTCTACTAAATTGAACAAATGAAAACTATTTCTTTATCTCCTCAGTTAAAGCAAAAAATTCAAAAAGTACATTATAGTGTCCATAGACGATGATGCTAAAAATCAGTCAGATATTTTCCATAATTTCTGTTTAAACTTGTTTTGTTAATTTGAATTAAATTTAATAGGGATACATTACTGTAAAGGCGCTCTGATCCTCGTGAGCATCTGTTGAATATATACAGACGATGACTTTGTCGCAAACACATTGTACAATTTGGGATAAACTTTTAGCATATATCAGAAAATACATGACATACCGTGAACATGTTTGTTAAGCTGGATATTATCACTTTATTACCGCATATTCGAGAATATGTATATTTTGATGAAGGTTTGGATGGGAAAGTTATTGTTTCATTCGTATTCACTTAACATGAATAAAATTTCAATTGACAGAAAAATTATATTTTCTATATTATGTGGTCATCAACTTATTAGCACCAACCAAAAAAATATCATTTATTACTTTTATTCTAATTCCGACTCTTTTCTTTTTTCCAGATTTAACTTATCAAAATCCACCACTATACATTATCTCAAAATGCAGTCAAAAATCACCCGCGCTCTTCTCGTCTCACTTCTCTTCCTGCTGCTGCGATGCATCCAGGATTGCTCTGCCATCACCACTCGCCGTCCCATAGGATCTTCATCGGCTGTCATCATTTCATCATCATCAGGAATAGTTTCCCCGTCTTCCCCAGAAAGCCAACTAGCTGGTGAACAAAGGTTTGCCATGGAACCTCAAGACCAGACTGCCATCGTTGGATCCAGAGTCACATTGCCATGTCGAGTTTTGGACAAGAGTGGACAACTGCAGTGGACGAAGGATGATTTTGGATTAGGGACACATAGGAATTTAAGTGGATTCGAAAGATATTCGATGGTTGGAAGTGATGAAGAAGGTATGTAAATTATTACCTTTATACGAATACGTTGTGGTAATAATGTTCACTGCGCTTGTTGATGCTTACTTTTATTTTAAAATGATAATATAATTTGTTCGAAATCTAGAATAAAGTGTTGAAACTACGATACAATTACAAACTTTATAGTGCAATAAGTTTGTCTTATTTTAAAACAATATTAGATAATACCTGATCATAGTAAAATCGTAGATAAATCGATTTCTTTAATTGGATATATTCTTAATAAATGTGATAAATAAAATCCTTCTTTACAATTTGAGTGCTAAATCATAATATTTAAGCCAATTCTTATAGAACTTTTTTGGCGATGTATATCATGGTCTTATAGATCTTACTGAAATATTGCGGCCTTACGACAAGTAGTTTAATTTTAAAAATTTATCAAAGTTTGGGGAAATGAGTAGTTTTTTGACGTTTGTAAAAATTAAAATTAGACGATTTACTTGGTATAATCATAGAGTACTTGGTCTTAATGATCATACTACACCATTAAAGTCCTATGGAAAATGGTTCAAGTATAAAAATTTTGGTTTTTGAAAATTTGCTTTTAGAAAATACTCAGAGTTAACGTGTTAGTTCTTTTTCAATTATGTGTAATAAATCCACTCGGAATACTTTTAGTCACTTTTAATTCATTTTTTATTGATTAAATCGATTATTTAAACATATCGTGAAGTTCATGTAACTTGCCTCAAGGCAAAATACCAATACCAACTAGTTTATGATATAAATTATGATTTGTTCCTATATGAAACCAACAGTTTTGGGGTTATAGTTCTATTATTATTTTGTATCCCTCTGGGGTTATATTTCTACTCACCCATAAGATATTAGTTTTATTGCATAAGATATAATGTTATCTAGCCAATTCATAAACAAGCTGAATTCGCCCTCGAATATCTTGGATTACAAGACACGTCCGTTTTCTATTATAGTCGTATATTATTATAAGGTAAAAGTAATAAAAATATAGAAAGCGTATCGAAAGATTCTATTCTCTAGATAGCTTCTTATTATATACGGATTATTATAGAATTATACGGAAATACTTCTTTCTGCATTCTTATTTTGTTGGCTCATTAACTACTATACATTGCTAATCACATTAATTTTTATTGTTCCTCTTAAATATTTTTTATTATATTACTGCATAAACTAATTTAGCATGATCTTTAATTTTCAAAATATATCTATAAAGTTTTATTGATTATGGAAATGGCAGTGAATCATTAACAAATAATGTGTCCATAGACGATAATGCTAAAAATCAGTCATATTGTTGTTAGATTTTGTTAATGCTTTTATGCAAATGATCAATATACCTTATTTTTCTATTTCAGGAGATTATTCTCTAGACATTTACCCAGTTAGATTAGACGATGATGCGCGTTACCAGTGTCAAGTGAGTCCTGGTCCTAAAGGCCAACCAGGAATCCGTTCCCAATTTGCAGTACTTTCTGTACTGGTTCCTCCAGAACCACCAAAAATAGCACAAGGAGACTTTTTGTTAACAACTGAAGACAGAGAAATAGAATTGGAGTGCTCATCTGTTGGAGGAAAACCTGCTGCTGAGGTAGGAGAATAAACTTTTAAATATTTTTAATATAATAATAAGTCTTATATAATTATTCTACTACCATTCTATTTATGTCTATGAAAACATTGACAATTTTACTTAAGCTCGTTAAGGTCTTAAATATTGAAGTTATAAGTACACTTAAGTGGTTGGTTATGTGTTTAGCGCCATCAAGACTTTATAATTTGAAACAATTCATTTTAACGTTAAAGTTTGAAAACAACAAAGTAACGATAACATAATACTTATTGAAAGTACTTTGCTAAGAACGTAAAAGCAAGAATGAATTAAAAGCTGTCGGAAACTTGTCAATTATGGTTTAGGAACTCGTTTGTTGCAAACATAATATATATATATATATATATATATATATATATATATATACATTTTAAAGCCATATTGTAACAATATTTTCTACATAACTTTTGCTGTATGGTAGTTTCATTAGTTCGAAGTAATTTCTACTTATTATCCAATACCAGCATTATATAATGATTTTATTTAAATATATATTATTATGTAGTACTTATTAAAATATATTTTTTTAATTACATATTACACTCTTTGCATAATTATTAACTTGAGTATTTTTGAGTAAATGATTCGGGTAAAAAATTATTAACTAATATATAAAATTCTTTATTTTCTAATTATCTACTAATTGAAGGTTAAAATTTATTAAAAAGTTTAATACCCAGACCATCTAAAACATTAAAAGTTTTAGTATAGGACATTTTGCAAGTTTAAATTTGGTGTTGTAGCAGTCATGTTCAAAATTCAATCATTTTAGATTTCAGAATTAAATTTTTTCCAAAATATGAAATTTGTTTGTGTTAACTAAGTAAAGTCCACAAAAAATTATGCTAAAATGATCGATTGCTGCGATAAAAATGTCTTTCTTTAATTATCTCTTATCTGAGTACATAAAATAGAATAAATCACTGATTTCATATGAAACATATCACATTTTTTCTATAAAAATTATTACAAACATTTTAATATTTGTGTAAAACAGTAGCTAAAAGTTTTTTTGAGAGACTAGGTATTTCTTCAATTGGGAGACTAGGTATTTCTTTAATTGGGAGACTAGGTATTTCTTCAATTGGGAGACTAGGTATTTTTTCATTTTGGAGACTATTCAAGTAAAAAGTTAATTTTTGAGAGAACTAAGTATTTCTTGATTTGGGAGACTAGATATTATTCAAGTATTAAGTTGATTTTTGGGAGACTAGGTAATCCTTCATTTGGGACACTAGGTACTTCTTCAATTTGGAGACAAGATATTTCTTCAATTGGGAGACTAAGTATTCCCTCATTTGGTAAACTAAATATTTTTTCATTTTGGAGACTAGGTATTATTCAAGCATTAAGTTGATTTTTGGGAGACTAGGTATTTCTCCATTTAAGTGAGGGTATTTTTTTCATTTGAGAGAATTGGTATTATTTAAGTATTAAATTGATTTTTAGGAGCATTCTTTTTTATTTTGGAGACTAGATACTGTTCAAATATTAAGTTGACTTTTTGGAGAACTAGAAATATCTAAATTTGGGAGATTAGGTATTATACAAGAGTTAAGTTGATATTTGGGAGTCTAGGTATTTCTCTATTTGGGAGCCTCGGTGTTATTCAAGTATCAAGTTGAATTTTGGTAGACTAGGTATTTTTTTCATTTGGGAGCCTATAGTCTCCCTATAGGTGTTATATAAGTATAAAGTGGACTAACATTAAATAATTAGTCAAATTAGGTTAAACATCAGTTTGTATTTCTAAGATAAGTACGTGAAACTACTATACTATACTAATATATGCCAAAGACTGAACATTTTGAAGTAAAAAATTTGATTACCATCTCCCTACCTACCCATCTGGGAGACTAGGTGTTTTTCATTTAGGAGACTAGGCATTGTTCAAGTATTAAGTTGATTTGTGAGGGACTTGATATTTTTCCATTTGGGAGACTAGGTATTATTCAAGTATTAAATTGAAAAGTGGAGTAACATCAAATAATTAGTTAAACATCTGTTTGTATTTCTGAGCAAAGTGCGTAAAACTACTATACTATGTCTGAGATTGAATACTTTAGTAAATAATTCGATTACCACCTCATACGTTCTATTTAGTATTCTTCCTGCATAGAAAAGCTCATTATTGTAAACCTCACGATATTCTCCTCAGATAACATGGATCGATGGTATGGGTAATGTACTCACAGCAGGAATAGAAAGTTTCGTCGAGCCATTACCTGACGGCAGACGCTTCACGTCACGTTCTGTTTTGAAGTTGACGCCCAAGAAGGAGCATCACAACACTACTTTCACTTGTCAAGCGCAGAACACCGCCGACAGGACTTATAGAGCAGCAAAACTTAGACTAGAGGTAAGAGAAAATAAATTCTGAATCGCAATTAAAGTTTTGAACGGGAATAGACTTTGGAATTGATTTCGTGGAAAATTTTACTTACTCTAAGACTTTGGGGACGTGGATAAGAAATAAGTCTTGGGTTTTTATTAAAAAGTGGGAAAGAAGTATCAAAGTAAAATTAATTCCTTTTATCGATTTAACACTCGAATCTTTCAAAGACATGTTAGAATCTATTTTACTTATCAATACTAGGTTTTAAAAAATAATTCAGTACTATTTTTCTACTTTGTTGTCTCAATATTATATCCACTGTTGTAGAACCTACCTATATAATTTTAATATTCTTTTCAATTACTATTTTTATTTTATTTTTTGAATTTTGTTTTAACATAATTTTATTTATTGATTTAGAATTTAGAATTAATTACAATTCCATTAATATCGTGGAAAATTTTAGTTTTTGTAAGACTTCAGGATCATTTGAGAAAGTGAATATGGAATTTTTTTGGATTTTTTAAATGTATAATTTTAGAAAAAATTTACAAGCATATTGAAATTATTATACTACATTTAAAAAAATCATTTTAATACAATTTTTCTGCTCTGCTGTCTCATTAATGTTATAACTATTGCTATAGATCATTTTTATTATTAAAATTTGTTTCTAAACAATATTTTTGTTATATTTCATCAAAAATTAACTTATATCTCTAACAGCCAATTTATGGCAATTAAATGAGCAAACTCATAAAGTAAAACCTAAACTAGAAATAAATGAAAATAAAAATAATTCGATATTTATTTTTTTATTACTAGACATATTAAAAAAATTATTCAAGTACTTTTTTTATTATTTGAATTATTATTGAAGACAAAATCTAAATTTAAAAGCCTATATCATAACATTGTAGGATTTATTATAAAACTTTAGAATTGATGAATGTGAGATATGTTTTTTTCTCGAATTTTAATATATTTTCAATATTTGTAGAAGTGAATGAGAAATAAGTCTCAAGTTTTTTGGTGTAGAGTATGTAAACTTTAAATATATAATTAATTTACCATACAATAAAATATTTAAAATAATTATTTCGATTCATATTGCAATACAGATTGTAAGCATACCTTATTCGGAATAAAATCAATATAATATAATTCAAACATTTGTATGATAGCTTTGAAAATATTTTAATTAATAATATACTAAATATATATACTTCTTATATAATTAACTCTATTTATACAGCTAGTCTATACATTAAATGGTACAAGTATGAGGGAATCATTGAGTACATAATTTATATTCTTCAATAACATTAATTATATTTATTCTGGTATTAATACCTACAGGTATTAATGATATAAAAGTACTCAAGATTTATTACAATACTTTATAAAACTAAACCTAATAATATGATGGATAACCTATTACCTATCATACTATACTATATTATTGTATATCATAGGTAGATATCTATTATCTATCATACCGTGAGATACCTATACCGTCATTAACTTATTATATACCTACATAACCTTTTACTTCTTATAAATATTACTGTCTAATTTATATATTCACCTATATTATATAGGTTTACCCTACGCCCTATGTATTATCTCTACCTATTTATTTGTCTATACTGGGATTTGAACCCGGGACCTCCGCGTGGCGGTCGCGCACCTTAACCACTACCCTATCGGGTATCCCCACCAATAATATAATATGGGACGCACTGTTGTTCCCGCGGGTCATTTTCTAATTAATTAGATAATTAATACTAAGGTGGCGCGACGACACGCGAAAAAAGTCGGTTGATTGTAGCGTTACGGTGGTGTAGTGGATAAGGTAGCCGCGTGTCACGCGGCGGACCCGGGTTCGATTCTCGGTAGGGTTAATGTAGCGTGTAAGGAAAATTATAGGTAATAGGATATATAGTAGATATAGGTTAGGTGTATTCGGTATACAATGTAGGGATTTGAGAGTATATGATGAAATATAGCGTATGGTATAGATGTAAGGCGTGTAGTGTAGAATGCAACGTATAGGCACACGTAAGACTATAAAAATACACGAATAGGAACCTATGATGTAGGTGTTTAGCGTATAAGAAATGCGAATGAATATAAGATTTAATTTATAAATATTATTTTTTCTATAAGAATTTTTATCTCGGTATTAAATACCTAAAATATCCAAAATATCCGTTAAGGCGTCGATTACACCTTACTGCTGCCTTTGCCGTTATCACTTCATAGCAAATTAATTACTGCGCTTTTAAACGATTGAGTGCACTGTGCGACAATAGACATAGAACAATAAATTTTATTAAATGTTTGAGTAACTTGTACGAGCTGAATTTCTTAAGATGTTCTTAGTCTCGCAACTTACTGAATTCTAAAAATTCTAAATTTAAAAATATAATATAAAAATTATTATACCACTGTCTGTAAGGGATGGCAATTTATAAATATACAGACTAATACATATAGAATTTGGAATTTTTCTATAATCCGTAATATTGAGAAAGTTTGCATTAAACCTAAAAAGGGATGCGTATTTACCTAAGCTATGGAAATATATATGATTTGCAAATGCATCCTGTGCTTACTTAAACTAAACAATGATCATAATATATTTAACGAATTTTTAACAGTATTTACAAATTACATTCGAAGCGCCCAACGCAAGTGGGTTAAAGTCGTGTAATTTTTTAATTTGCCTCCCCCCTCTGAATTTAAAAATGGCTTTTTCTGTTGTATTGGGCGTGGATTTAAAAGAATCAAAGTAGGCCGAAATTGAGACAATAAGTCTATTGAAATATCAGGGTAACTCTTTTGCTATAAATTGTTAACTAATTTACCAATAAATAAATGTCAATAAAACAATGATTAAAAAAAATTACCAATAAATGTTGGATTGTAAAAATTTACAAGCAATCTAACGGCTTATATTTTTGCCTTAGATGGCAAAAAAATTCATCCAATTATTAAAATATTAATTTTTTTTGCAGTTCTTATGCTTTTGTATTTTTAGAATTGCTTTTTTTCGCTACAATCAATTTCCATTATATGAATGTCTTAAATTATTTATTTTATTCGACTAACGCTCGCTATGTCCGAAACAAGTTCAACTTATATCTGAAATATTAGGGCATCAGACACTTTTCGGTCTTAATTTTTCTTTCGATATATGTGAAATTTGAAATACACTACTGTATTGTAATTAATATTTCAGTTTATACACTTCAATTTGTAACTAAATTAAAAACGACTTTGATAAAAGTTTTATATATATGATATATGTATATATATATATATATATATATATAATATATATACTCGTATATATTCAATAATATTATGCAAAAAATTGCCAAAATATATATAATAAGAATTCTTAATATTTGTATTTAGAAAATTTAATATTAATTAAGACTTCTATATTTCCAGGTGAAATTTGCACCCAAAGTATCCGTAGCAGTAATAGGTATTGATACATTCCCCGGAGGTCGCATTCCAGAAGGAAGTGAAGTTCAATTTTCTTGTAAAGCTGAAGCAAATCCGCCAGAACTGACTTATAAGTGGTTTATAAATGACGAACCAGTAGTTGGAGATTACACAACGTTAATGGTACCTATTATATCCAGTCGTTTTCATGTAAAAGTAGATAATTTAGTAAGATTCCATTAACTAACTATTACAGATAACTGATATTATAGTTAATGACCGGAACAATTAAGCTTATATGTCATTATATGCCATTGACATATCTCGGAGGCTAATTATAATTGTATTTATGTCCACGTAGCTATTACGAATTTAGTTGATATTAAAAATATATACTGTAAAATCTCGATATTATCATAAATAGAACATTCGTAATATTTTATTTTAGATTGTAATTTGTTAGAGTATTTTTACACAAATTTTTATTTTCTATTTTATTATTATTTTTTTCTTCAATTTTATTCATTCAACATTGTTTTATACTGAATAGAAAATCATTTCTTTAAATATCGCCTGGTTTCTTATTGGTAATTTCAACAATATTTGTAATTCTGCTTTTGCAGTGCAATCATAAAAATTTTAATGTATTTTTTTATAATTATTAATTAAAAATATCTTTTAATTTACTAGGTAATGTACAATGTGACAAGAGCTTATCACGACGCAATCGTCAAGTGCGAAGTTCATAATCCTGTTGGAAAATCTGAAGAAAGTGAAACCTTGGATATAAGCTGTAAGTATTCCTGTTTAATTAATTTTGAATATATATATATATAAATATACATATATATATATATATATAAATATACATATATATATATATATATACTTTAATCGTATATATATATATACGATTAAATGTATACGCATCATGAAAATGGGAGCATAGGACAGTCTTTTTTTGATTTCACACTCAAAAATTTTAAATGCTGCATCCCTCACATTTTTACAAACGTGTTTAAAGATATTTCTTATAAATTATAATGAAAATTCAATTTAACGATCTTGTTAATTATATCATAATCAATGATAATCTTAGTTTTAGTCTAATTTAATTTATTTTTAATATTATTATTTAAAATGTCTTCAAAATTTAATTGTTTACATACATAAGTTACAAATTTTTGTAGAGATCAGTCTATTTGGTATAATCTTTATTTTTAAATTACAGACTTGACATCAACTGAAAATTTTTTTATATGAAATATTTATTCTCCAAATGTTTTAAAATGGTCTTCATTTTATTTTAGTATCTTTATTTCACACAATATAGGCACAGTGTTAACAGTGGTTGACGGATATACTCGTTCTGGAAAATTAATCTAATTTTGTGTATTGACGAGTATATTCGTTGTATAAAATAGTGATCATTTTCTATTTAAATTAAAATTTTTGAAAAAAAATAAAACAAAATTTTTTAAAATATCATATGTAGAAAAGTCGAAAATGGCATTTTACCTTAAGGCAAGTTGCACGAAATGCGGAAATAATTGTAATACTTAATCGAATAGAACCATTAACATTGAGCTATTTAAATAACATTATTTACTGTTAATTTGAAAACAATTTTTGTTACTAGTACAACTTGGTAGGTCAACTCTGTGATTGACTAATATACTTGTCATGAGATTTTGGACGACGCAAAAAAGTATCGTTAACTAGTTATCTGATTAAATATTATCCAGACATTCTATGACATAAATTACTCTTTGCTGAGTTATATATCTCAACGACAATTGTAAAAGATATTCCATTACCTTCATCATTTTCGAGACAAATTTTTATTGATCTGTTTGGAGAATAAATAGTTTATATTAAGACTTGTAAAAATTCTTGTTAAGTTTATGAATCTCAAATATATACATATATACACATTACATTTTATTATATTAATGTAGGGTCAGCCATTTAACTTTTATTTGGCAGCCATTTGCAATTTTTTGGCAGCCATTTGTAATTTTGGCAGCCATTTAAAATTAAGACAGCAGTTTAAATAAATCTAATTTTCATTATTAATCGGAAAGATTATACTGTCAAATAAAAAAAGTTATTTGGCGGACTCGTTATATATGTATATGTACAATATATATTTTGTGCAATCAGAGTTTATGAATGTAATCTCTTCCAAACTTCCGTGTATACTTATTGTTTTGAATTATTGCATAACACCTAAATAGACTTATAATCCAGTGCCCATTGTTGGCTACATTCCGCATTTACATATGAGTTTATCTCTACATTCAGATGGTCCCCGGTTCCGCACTAGACCTCGGTCTGTCCAAGCAGATAACGGAGCAACCGTAGCGCTTAGCTGCGACGTAGACGGTAATCCTACGCCCGACATTATATGGATATATGAGGAATCACAAAAGGTACTTTTCGGTTTCATTCATAGACTAAGAAGCAAGAGCTATTGTTTGTCATTAATTGTTCTTGGATTTATTCCTTGATATCTATCTGGATACTTTTGGAAAAGACCTATAGCTGAAACTTACTTGCAAGATAAAATTATATGCAGTTTTAAGACAAAATTATTTTATTGGTCAGCAGTTTTATATTGAATATGAAAACCATACTTTTAACTCGAATATCATCAATTTGAAAACTTAGAACGATTTTATAATATTTTTATCTACCGATTCTTATTCATTTCTTTATTTTAGGTTGTCGGCAATTCTGCAAATTTAACATTAACCGTCGTACCAGAAACTGCAGGCCGCTATTATTGCAAGGCATCTGTCCCTGGTTTCCATGAAATCGGTGCCAGAGCGCAAGTTTACTTGCGTGGACCTCCTGAAATCGCTTCTGGATCTACACAATTTGGAATCACTGGCGATACGGTAAATTGATAAATTATATACAATATTAACTGATATTTGGTATATATTCCTAACTATTGATACAAAAGAGAGGAAAATGAGATGGAAACTATTGTTCCATGAAACGAATCGATCTGAACGACACTAAATAACTACTTATACAACTCAAAAGGTTTTATTTTTATGTTTTAAATCTAATTTCTTGACTAAAATTTAATGACTAATACTGGCAAGAGTATAAGATCATCTTCATTGACTTCATAAAGCTTCAAAATTGCATATTGATATGATTTTGGATAATTTCACCTATTAAGATAATATTTATTTGAACATTTGTATTTTACATAGCAAAGAGCTTATAAGCCATTTCCTTGTCTATGATATGAGCCATTATAAAAAAGCATCAAATGCATTTTATGGTCGTTACTTCCTTATACATGAAGTTGTTATATATACTCTATAGACTTTTAACAATATTTGTTGTAATTGTTATAATATTAAGTAGAATTATCGATAATCTTATTAAATAAAATCAATTTCTATTTTTCAGGTTCGTCTAGAATGCATAGCTCATTCTGTGCCGCGTCCACAACGTGTTTCATGGTCACGATGGGGTCGTGACATCGAGCCTGGAAGCAGCAGTAGTGCTTCCACAATAAGTGGAAGCGGTGGATTGTCCAATAGTGACGATGCTGAATATAGTGTCCTGGAAGATCCTTTACCAGATGGACTTAAAAGCACATTAATTGTCAGAGATAGCAGACCAAGGCATTTTGGAGAATACAATTGCACAGCAGCCAATGAATACGGCGCAGATGTTATGGCTATCAGACTTGTCCCAAGAAGTAAGTTAAATAATATTTATATATAGATTTAACTTATCAAAATTTTCTCTACAAACTGAAGAAATCACAATAGTTGTATTTTATTTTCGGTACTTATTAAATTTCAATCTGTTCTTTTTCAGAAACTTTCCCTATGCTTCTAACAATAGTCGGAGCAGTTGCTGGCGTCATCCTAATAGTTATAATAACCCTCTCGGCCATTCTATGCCAAAAACGAAAACGCAGGAGGCACCACCATGAAAACAGTGCCCGTGACCTGAAATCTGCAGGAAGGCCGCATGACGAAAAGTCTATGGATGGAAACAATCACACTACTATTATCACGAACCAATGTCGAGACAGTGACCGAAGTTCCAATGTTAGCGATTTAAAATTGGAATTAAGAGAGGATTGCTATTCTTCAAATCAAGAATACTCTGAAGCCGGATCAGATGGTGGAATAAACAGGACTAGCATTGGTATACCGATGACAGGACCTGTGAATTTGCCTGGTGGGGAAATTTATAGATACTCTGCTGATTATACAGAACCACATTTTCCACCAAAGAGTAATGTAAGTACTAATGAAAAATAAGTAAAAAAATCAAATGTTCATGTTAACTTTTTTATTGTAATTTAAACAATAACATGAATGTTATTTTTACAATTTAGGATGGTCAAAACAACAATGGATACGTACCATACGTCGATTACACACGTGACTACAACCCACCATCTCTTACCATGAAACCTGCTTTACAACCAACTCTCGAGTCTTCAAGAGAAAGTCTACAATCAACCCGCCTTCATCTAAATAGTCTTCATTCCAACAATTCTTTATCTTCAAGTGGAACACATGTTACCGCTCATCACCATCCAGCTGGGCAAGTGGTGTCTAACGGTAGTATCATGATGGGCGGCGGCGGCTCTTTGACACGTCGGCAAAATATTGACGGAAGTGGTTCTACTTATCCTTCAAATAGTCTGCAAAGAGGTATTAAGGATTCTAGGCATGAAAATGGTCTGCCAACTGTTATGCCGCCTGCCATGCACGAAATGTCATTGATGCCAAATGGAGGGTTACATCCGCCAGGTAAAATAATTGATCGACAATAATAATAATAAATAGTAGTCTATCTGATGACAATCAATGAGTCCCTTTCTCATTTTTGTTTCGTATTCCCATTACTATTTTATTACCATTATTTGCTTTTTATACATTTTCCTGCAATTACCTTCCCAAACTTCTGCTTCCATGCTTCTTTGTCCTGTGATTATACTTTTAGTTCCTTGTAATTTTTCTTCTTGCGTAAGTCATCAATCATCTGCATTCAGCCATCACTGAAAAAAAAGCCTTCACTGAAGTTTATGCTATGGCTTGTGTCATCTACTTTAAGATTTGCGTCGGTAAAAGGTGCCATACTTCACTTGTTCAGATAATGGTGGATGATCTTTTTACCCCGTTCTACCCTACATTATTTATGTTTTCATATCCTACTACATTCAATTTAAACATCCCTATATACGGCTCGGCAATGCCAAGAGGCTAGTTTTAGTTGGAATTTTTTTTGATCTGCCATTTCAGGACGCAGAATTTCAAATTAGAACTTTGTGGTTGTAATGCCAAAGCTCTATCACTGCACCACGACTTTCGAAAATATTTATGTTAAATATTTGAGTAAAATCTACTTACTACAAACTACATATAAGAAGTTTGTTTTCAAATATTATTCAAACTATTCAAAGCATAAGTTCAGTACATATTACGTAATAATATATTATAACAAATGTATAAGACCTTTGATAATGATGAGTTCCTTACGAATTTTATAAAATAATTAATAAGCAAGGCTTAATTATAAGTATAATGAACTAAATTTTATTTATTTTAAACGTATTGAGTTGACTAGTCTACATATTGAAATGTCCAAAATTCTTCTTCTTCCCAATATTTTTAGTACTTCTCTTTTACCGTCGACTACATTATGTAGGAGGCACAATTTTTGCTGAGTGGGTCCGTAATAATTTATTATAACAAATGTATCAGACCTTTGATAATATAATGAGTTCCATGCGAATTTTTTAAAAAATTAATAAACAAAGCTTAATTATAAGTATAAGACTAAAAATTTATTTTTTTAAGTGTTCAGTTTACTACTTAAAATGTCCCTTCCTTCCCAATCTTTTTAGTCTTTCTGTTTTACCATCGACTATATTATGTAGGAGTTTTTCTGCAGAATGGATCCGATCCAGATTCCTTCCAACTTAAGGATTGTGTTCAGTATAATTTGCTATTTGTTACCTTATCTGTACACTTTATATTCTCCAGCATCACATTTTAACACTCTGGATAGTTTTTGTCAGGCCGACAAGAGACAATTTCTCTGATTTGTACAGAGCTGTCCTCCACACATAATACTTTATTAGTCTTTCACAATCGTTTCTCATTTGATTATATATCAATTATTATTTGTACAGATGTTTATAATTACAATATATTTTTTCTCCACCAGGAATAGATGCAAGGTATTCAGTAACGTACGGAAATCCTTACCTCCGGTCTTCGAGTACATCATTACCTCCTCCGAGTACGGCAAACCCGTCCGCGACGCCTGCACCCCCGCCATATTCCCGTCGTCCTGCGGTTCCGCAGACCGAGGTCGCTGGGCCCGGACCTCAGGTCGCGCGACTGCCGAGCTCTCCCACGAGTCAGTACATCGTCCCAGGCGCCGCGCAAACGCACAGCGTCAAGAAAGGAACGCTGGCGACGCACGTGTGAGCCGCGACCCGGTGTTGTACATTGATCGCGGTTCGTAACTGGCGTTATTCGATTCGCCTTGCCTTCGCGAGGTTTGTTACTCGAATTCCAGAAACTTTTGAAGTGGTCAGTGTTATTTTATCCGGTATTTCGGAAAAGTCAATTGTGAACTATATAAATATGAATGTTATTAAAAAATTATTGAACGATTTAAAAAGACAATTAAAATCTAAGTGTGCTCTATATTTCAATAATTGAAGGGTACTTGGGATTAATTGAAGTCTAATGAGTGTACTAGGCAAAATGAATAAGGTGATCACTAGAATATTGAAAATTGAATATATTTAAGGTCTCAGTTATTGTTTCACCAGTAACACTGATGGAAGTTTAGATAATGGTATCAAATATGTGCGACCTTATTACCAATGGTGTTGTCGATCCGGAACGCTCCGGAACGTCGTTCCGGTACTTCCTTTTTGGACAAAAACGCGTTTCGGAACTAAATATTATTTCTGACAACGAGCAATCCCTGACGTGCTAAAGAAATTTCATAATTCATGACGAATTTGTATATGTATTATTTATTATTCAAAAGTTTGAACCAAACCGGAACCGGAGCAAACCGGCATGTTTTTCCGAAAACCGGAACGTTTTTTTACTACCAGACTGGAATTTGAACCAAGCCGAGACAAATACGAAAACAGGTTTTTGTACAGTTTTTTTTAAATTTTAGCGGTCCGGTTATAAAAAATAGCACAACACCATTGCTTATTACTATTTATCGCCTATAAATAGTTATTCTCTAAAGTATCCTCCATTTATTGTTAAGCATTGTACGAGCTTGATTTGCTCAAAATCTAAAGGTAAAAATTTGTTTGTTTGTTCTAAATTATTCACGTATTTATTTTTGGTATAATTACTTAACTAAATTATTTTTCGGACTTATATATTATATTATATCCAATTTAAAATTAATATATCGCATGTTACATTTTATTATACTTACAGTATTTTAAATGATTTTTTCTTGTTGCAAAGCTAAGACAAGTCAGTATTTTAACTTAATATTATTATTTAATTCAGCAACTTGGTTGTTAGTTGAAATTTTTATCAAGTGGATTCATTTTAAGAATATTTCCATACATGTATAACTGAAATGCAAAGTCGATGCATTTCATAGTAAGGTCTTCTACTACGTGCAATTAAATTAGTTTTTCATAAAGTGTCGCCCATGGGTTTTAAGACCTTAAAGTTTTTTTTATATTTATTGAATTAAATTATATATGCAATCTGATAAAAGTCAATATATTTATAAAATATCAATTATGGTGTGATTATATATTTGCATGCGATTTATTTAAAGAAAACTTATTTATATTATTTATAATTATATTTGCCTAAAAATTCAAATTAGCAAATTATAGGCGCACACGGGAAAAAGTTAATTAATTAGTCAATATGCAATTTTACATTTCATGAGAAGTCTAAATGATAAAGTCTATTAGCATAATTACGTGTGAAGAATAAACGAAATTCTACATGTACTTAAGACTATTGATATTAAATCAAAATTAAATTGATTGTTAGCCAATAGAAGTATAGCTTCGAAAATCGGTATCGATGCGATTGTTTATAGAAAATTATAAAAAATAAAAAAATGAATGACTGTACTAGATATTATTATAGAACCTAAAGATAAAACAGATTGGCCTAATATTAGACCATGCTTTGTGCATATACATAACTGTAAATAATTTGTTGATCTAATTCACCTAAAATATTTAAATAGATTTTTAACTAGAAATTGAAGCTTGGAATTAGGAGTAATTTATCAGCCATATGTTTACGTACAAAACTACAGGGTTTGTAAATTGTCATTCATCAGTTACACATTTATTCGGTGCAGAGAATGAATATTAAATCAAAATATATATTTTTGAAGTTCTACAAAAATTTGTTAGTATTGCCATAATTGTTATTAAAGTTTAATGGAATCATATTTTTATAATCGAAATAATTCAATTATAGTTCAGTATCTATATTATTATTCGTATTATTGTTTAATTCGGTAATATATATTTTTATGATTCAATAAGTACATATATATTTATAATGTGGAAATATACAATCATGCATATTATTGAAAATTCCAAATTTTATTTTAAATATTGGAAACTTTAAATAAAACTAATTGAATTATATTGAAAACCTTAAATTAGTCATCCGCTAAGCATAAATGAATTTTGTTATTGGTTTTTAAATCAATTGTTTTAATTAAGTTATCATGAGATATAAATAATTTATTTGAGTGTGATGAGTATATATCCACATTTATATTTACTTAATAGTTGTATAAGTTTTATTATAAAGTGTTTGCATGTTTAGTTTAAAATTTACTTAGTGTGTTTGGTTTGCAATGGTTTTCAATAAGATATTTATCAATGCCAAAGAAATGAAGCTTTTAAACTTGTTTCTAATAATTAGTGGTGTTTGAATTGTGTTATTACTTTGTGATTTTGATTTAATTTTTTTCCTTTTTGATTTAAGAACATTATATAAATATGTAAATACAAATATAATTTCAGTATTGAAGTATAGTACATACTGTATATAATTGTATTTACTGCTACCTAAA